GAGGAGCCGTGCGGATTAGGAGGAGGAGAGCTGGAGCGTGGGAGCCAGCCCGGAGCGCAGAACAGCCCTGGGAGCCAGGAAAGGAGTGAGGAACTCGGCCTGTGGATCCCTGGGAAGCCCAGGAACACGCGAGGGAGAGGAGCAGGAGGCAGTGCAGCGCAGGGGCTGCCCAATTAGAGGCTGCAGCCGTGGCACTGGGAGCTCCTAGCAGGCGTTTAAAACTTGTGTTGGTAACAATGGGGAGAAAAGACTTGCTGCTAAAGAGATGTGTGAAAATGAGCTCGCAAATGCTTTAATGCTGCAACAGTGGGTGTCGTATAAATATTTGAATAAATCTTTTAATCATCTTTCTGGTATGATGTAGAAGTGGAAAAGGACAGCTCCGCGTATTGCTTTCACACAGCACTCGTACAGGAAGAGACTGCTAAGATGACTGTTCGGAGAACAGCATCTATTAATGTGCTGTGTACGGGCTCTTGGCAATCCTAATGTGTCAAAAAGCCAAAATACACAACGGGAAAAAAATATATGTTATGAGGCTGTCTGTAATAGTATTCAGGTGGTATCTTCTGCAACCAAAACGGAGAAGGGAAACAAGGGAAGAATTAATTGCCCAAGTTTTTCCTCTCTTCTAAAAAGGGCTTTGCCCTGAGAAAAAAATAACAAAAGACTATTCCATTAACCTCCTTGGAGATTCTCAGCGCAGATTTTGCTGTAGCTAAAATCAAAGACACAGTATGAGGGGGGGCGGGGAAAAAAAGAATAATCAATTAATAAACACATAAGGAAGTTCCTGACAGCAACTGGACAATTTGCATCAATCGCAAATCCAGGAAACATAAGAAACCAAAGTGTGAGACAGCATTTTGAAAGGCATCATTCTGCTTAAGGACAGAGAGAAGCAGTGTCCTTAAACTATCATAAACAGAAGTAAAAATCCTAAGATACCGTTACATCAACCTTTTTATTTAATTTTTATAAATTAAATTTATGAATTTATTTCACTGGTACTCCAAAGAGGAAGGAGTTGGAGACTGGTCATGTGAATCCTGTTATCATCCAGCGTGATTAACTGCTGTTGCATATATTCTTAATCAAGCTGGGTATGATTAGCCTCCTGAGATGTTTACATTTATTGGGCAGACTTAAATGTAATGAAAGGTCCATTGAACAGTTCACACTAACAGTGCCAAGGGACTGATAGAGGTTTTACACATCATTAAATCAAAGTTTTTACTTGCTGGAGAGCTATGTACAGGAGATAGTGCCTGGTGTAATAAAGAGATGTAGCCAAGGATGGGAAACGTGTTTTAGGAGTGTGAAGAGACTTTTTTCCCTGTGAAGCTGTAAGTGCAATGAGTTTGGGGCTGGCAGTTAAACCTGCGTGGCCACATGAGGAGCCTTGCAAGCCCGTCAGAGCTATCCATGAGGAGCCAAGAGCAACTTGTCCATG